ACAGACTAATTGGCGTTGTTGAAAGGAAAGAGGTTCTGCGAAAACGAGTAACTGAAGATTTGAGATAATTGATCTGTCTAGCAGTGTGGGAGTCTATGAATATTTGTTAGTAAAAGTAGAATAATATCTTACTTCTTACTAATTTAAGTACCTGAATGACCGATGAGCTTTGCTCGGTATTTTTTTTTAATTTGTGTTTTTTGGAAATTATATTTAAGTACCAATTATTAATAAAATGATGAAATATGAATAATATTTTTCGATCTTACCGATAGAAAAAGTTAAGTTTATTATATTAGTATATATATTAGTATAGTTGATTATCGATAAAACAAGAATTCTAAAAATGATTCCTAGCTAGATAGATTTATCGCCCCCGAAACCCCCTATATACTAAATTTTATGAAAATCGTTGGAGCCGATTCCGAGATTCCAATTATATATATATATATATATATATACAAGAATTGCTCATTTAAAGATATAAGATAAATGCGAATGTTTGAATGGATCTTTGTTAGAAGATATCTCCAGAACAACTGCATGTATCTCGCTGAAATTTGACATAGATGTAGAACATAGTCTGGAAGAACACACAAATTAAGTTGTTTTTTTAATTCGAGAGGACGGAGTCGCAGGCGACAACTGGTACTATAATAAGTAAGAAATTTAGAAAATAAGATAATAGCATGGCCATTTTTTTATATTGGCAATTTTTTTTGTCTTAAATTTACTGAGTCGAGTTGCGGGATTCGAACTCTGGTCCACCTGATCGAAAATCCGTACCCTTAACCATTAGACTATTGCCGCTTTTGGTTGATTTATTAACAGGAAGAAAGCATTAACTATCTACTTATAAAAATAAATAATAAAACGGATATAAAAAAAATGTTTTATCTATTTCAGGCTTTGCTACTTTTTGACATTACGATAATTATTTGTTTTTAATTAAGCTATTTTAAAACAACTAGCATTTGCCAAGGTCTTCGTCTTCATGGAATTAAAAAATCTGGTAGTAATTATTGCCTATGTCACTCAGGGATAGTGTAGTATGTAATTTTACAATTATAAATAACTAGCTGGGTAACTAACACGACTTTCTTTTATATATATAGACTAGTTGTCGCCCGCGACTCCATCCGTGTGAATATATAAAAAAAAACTAAAAAAAAAATATGAATATCCCTATGTCCGTCTCCATGCTCTAAGCTACCTCCTCAACAATTTTCAGGCATATCGGTAAAGCCGTTCTTGAGTTATAAATAGTGTAACTAACACAACTTTCTTTTATATATATAGATTTTTTAAATACGATATAAATATACTAAAGTCATTATAAATAATATTTATACTCACATTTTATCGGCTAATTTATAAAAAAACACTACACTTTAACTGATATTAATTACAATTATACAACAAATATTCACAAAAAATATACGTAAGTTCGTATAATGACGCGACAGTACAACCCTACACAACCGCACCCCACGATAGCTCATGGCTAACTGTTGACTCAAAGTTATAAAGTTGGATTGCTGAAATTTTTTTTCAGACTACAACGCAATACGACCCTTAACCCTTCGAGTTAAGGGTGTTTAAGTGTGTTTTACTGTTTTTTTTTTAAATATAATTTACATTTATAAAATTACCTTGAAATATAAAGTTAAGATGTAAAAGTGTGAAGCCAAAAAGGTTCGGTTCCCGATTTTGTTTTTTTCATTATGTTTTTTTCGGGAGCGTCGGTAGCTCAGTGGTCAAGCACTTGACTTGCAATCTACCATCCCGCCATATACCAATGTGTTTTTCGATTTCCGATTTACATATGTGCATTTATCCGACGTTCTTATGGAGAAGGAAAACATCGTGATGCTGCACGTATCTGAGAAGAAATTAAAAGATATATGTGAAGTCAACCCGCACTTGGCCAGAGTAGGCTATGGCCTAATCACCCTGAACTTAGGGTAGGTAGGGACGTATAGTGAGCTGATGATAAAAATTTTCTTTATTCTATGTTCTAGATTTTTATTTATTTAACCCGTATGTAAAATAAATTAAAAGAGACAGATGGTTTAAATCATCATCTGTGAAGTTGGGTACAGTAAAGACTAACTCGAACTTTGCCGACAGAGGATCGCTTACTACAGTTAACATTGTAAACAAAATTTTAACCAGAACAAAAGCTAGACCAGTCTCATGCAAGTTACAGACGTTAGGTTTCATTTCAACCTTTAACGAGAGGAAAAACCGAATTTCATTGTACCGATAATTGTAAAGTTTTGTCATATTTGGTTGGTATAATTTATGAAAAATTAAGAAAAATTAAAATTGAATGTTGGTACTACTGGAGTGGAGACTCTTGACTAGTTATAATACTTCAAAGGTTTTCGTTAGTAATTACTAATATTATAAATGTATGTTCCGATGGATGGATGTTTGAAATTATCACTGAGAACAGTTGAACGGATCACTATGAAATTTGTCATACATATAGAACATAGTATGGAAGAACACGTAGGCTACTAATAATGTCTTTTTTTTAATTTCGAGAGAACGGAGATGTGGGTAATAACTAGTATTAAATATACGAAAGAAGTCATATCTAACTTATCTCGTTTTACTTTTAAACATTTAAAACAAATGCTATTCATCCTCTAAATCAAAAAGTTTTATTTGGCAATATAAAGTATTTTGTGTGACAATATATCAGACATCGCCAACCCTGTTTGCAGGGTCAACGAACTCAAGATGCAGCCGTATTTCCAGACATTTTATCAGCGCTGCAAAATTTCTTAATCCAGATAGTAAAGAGAAATGTTCAGTCTAACCTTTAGATTTAGTATTTCATTAAATATTACACTAACAGCTACAACAATCATTAATTAGTTACTAAGGGTAATTTTAAGAAGGGTTATTCGTTAGAAGTTAAAATGTCATGTTGCAAATTCAAATAAAGGTTGTGCAAAATGTCAAATACATTATTCAATCATATGTATTATTAGTGAAACTGGGAAAGTTTTCGTAAAATTATTTGTAGCCTTTAAAATTAAAAAAAACACAATTATTAGCCTATGAATTCCTCCACACTAGTTTCTACATCTGTGTTCAGCTAGATCCGGGCAGTTGTTCTTGAGACATTCTAGCAAACATCCATCCATTTAAAATATTAAGCGCCAATAACCTAATGGTTAAGGGTGCGGATTTCCGATCACGAGGTCGGCGGTTCCAATCACTGCCATTCGACTATTGTCGTAAACCATATCCTAGCACAAGCATAGCTTAGTTGGAATGGTACAAGAAATATTAGTAAATTTACAAAAATCTGTTAATATTTAGAATTAAAAAAAAACATTCTCATTTCTATTAGTAGAAGAAGACGAAGATAATTAAAAAAAAATTAAAACTGAAATGACTGTATGCATATGATACTCCAAGCTATATTAATGCAATGAAAATACATACATACAAGCAAAAACTAGCATGGATATTCATTACTGTATGGAGAAAGATCTTAATTAATGGATAAAAATGTAAAGTAACTTAGAAAATCAAATAAAATGAAATCTTTTCTCGTTTCCAATCCAAAGGTTATTTAACTCAGCAGACAAGG